GACCTGCACGACGGGTCAGCAAACGTAGCGGGGATGTTACACAGGCCGGAAGTACAAACCTGAGAGCCTCAGGAGATTTTCCATGCGCCCGAGTCGGTTCTCGAGTCCTTCAATATATTTGGCGCTGGCAGTCTGTTAGTCGGATGACGCAGAAACGGCCGGAGCATTTGCAAATCTGGCGTACCCTTTAGGTGGGTTGCGCTTCTTTTCTACCTGAGTGAAGACACAGTCCGTCTTGTAGTTTATGCAGTGGCTGCAGGCGGGCAGCTTCCCGTCGCACTTGATCTTCTTCTTCCTACACATGTCGCAAGCCTGCGCGTAAGAGGTGTAAGCATTTTACTCTTTTCGCCGGGAGCCGCCCAGAGAGGCCAGGGAACGTCTATGTGGCCACTTACCCTCGCGATTCTTCTCCTCTTTGCCTCGTTGGCATCGTCAAGGAGCGTTGAGGGGTCCCCGAACATGTGGGCGGCGAGATCGGGGGGCATGTGCTGAACAGGCATGCCGTCGGGGGTATAGGCTCCAAAGATCTGCGGCGGCTGGTTCATCATGGGGGGCGGGCCCGCCATGTGAGGCATCTGAAAGCCCATATGATCCATTTTGGACAGATTGGTCCGGTGCTGACCGAGAATCGATCTCGTGGGACCGAGGCAGGCGGTGGTTTGGCCGGTGGGAACACACTACAAGGCGAGGAAAGACCGAAGCGCACGGACAAGGGGTTTTTGCGTCGCAGGAGGGTTCGGTCGTGAGAGCGGCGATAGAGCGTTGGGCTTGGTCAGAGACCGGGAAAAGATTGGAAGCGGAAAGGCCGGCGATGGTTGCAAAACAGATGAAAAAAGAGGGACCTAAAACAAGTCGATCTGTCACTGTATTTGCAAGCAGAGCGAGCTGGTAGTGAGTGCAAGACAGCTAGCGTGGCGGCGGCGGGATGGCTGCTGTCATTCGCTCGGTAAAGGCGGTGGCTTGTGGTGCCTTCTTAACGCCGCGTGTGGATGTATATCCGTAAGCTAGTGCGGCAAACGAGGAATACGCGAGAGCCCGAAGCTCTTCGTTTTGGGATCTGGTCTAGACTCTTTCTGGTGGAGCTACCTCGTCTAATCTGGTGCCGTAGGTAGCTAGGCAGAATGACAGAGTGTGTGCGAGGGAGAGAAAGGTCGGCTCCGGACAATCTTATCGTGGTTGACTTTCCAACTGCCGACGTGGGGTTGAGCCGCGTTGGTACGAGTGAGGTGATGCAGGTAGGCGGAGAGAGACGTATTCCAACCTGGAGATGATGAAAAAGCGAAGGGGAGGGGGGAGTATCACGTTCAGACGTCCGAGAGGTAGATCTTGAGGGAAAAGGTGGAAAGAAAAAAAAAGAAAAGAAAAAAGAAGAGAAGGAAGGAGAGAGAAAAAAAATTGTTGGGACGGAGGACGATGGACAAAAGAGCATCAGTAGCAGCATGGCGGTATCACATAATAGATTTAAGGTAGGTAAGTTAAGTACCTTGCCTTTCTCTCTCTCACTCTCTCACACACACACTCCCCTTCCCTGGTGGGCATTTCCTCGCAACTACGACGTGGGGGGGCAGAAGACGTTACAGAATTGCAGATTGATCCGTCAGTGTGCTTGCAGTGATACTTAGGAGCAGCATTGGTCAGCGGGGGGCGCAAGGTACTATACCAAGCTGAGGGAGGGGGGGGGCTTGGGCACTCACACAGGGACTGAAGGAAGGCTAACGGGGGAGCAGGAGGGGAGGGAATAACAGGGGGACCCCATGGCCTAGATGCTGCGCCGGGCCGGAGTGGAGGGCGCAGGCTCCACCGCCAACAGGCAAACCGTAAAGAGAAACCGAAGACACAACATTCACACTACACCAGTGTAGAGAAACAGGGATGGTGCCGTGAGAGTGAGAGAGTGAGAGGCAGAGAGAGAAAGAGAGCATGCGCATGATGAGGATGGGAAGCGAGTAAGCTCGCAATCTTGAACAGAATGCGGATAGCCTTCACTATGCGCTGCCGCATCGTCTCGTCTACTACCGCATAAGCTTGCGGCTCGCTTTTCTTCTGCCACGTTTTCCGTCTGCCCAAAAAGCCAGTTGCTGCTATTTTGGGGCTTTCTTTTACCCCCTCCTCCTTCAACTGCACCGCGTTACCCTCTCTCCATGCTATGCCCTCGCCGTTGGCACATCTCGACCGCCCTCGCCCCCCTCGGCCCCATCCACCCCTCTACACCTGTGTTTTTTTGGTTGCGGTAGTGTGTCATTGGCGTGCGAGGTCATATGATCCCCGTCCAGTCACGATCGTTTCCCACCCGTCACTATAAATGGGGTTCTCATCTCAACTCCCAGCTTTCGACCGCTTCCGGGTACCTCTTGTGGCTGCTCAACGGGATTCATCACGAATCATGTGGCAGCACTTGAACGACGTCGCGAAAGCCACCATGCGGTGTAAAGGGGATTTGGGGGGGGGGGGGGGGAAGGAGGTGTGAGATCCTAGATCTAGATTCCCGCCAGGGGGCTTTCTTTTTCCTCCCTCAGAAACAGGCACGGCGAACCACTGCTCCTGGGTGGACAACCCATTCGTTCCTGCTCTCACACTCTGCCTCTCCCCTTTAATTACAGCAAAGAGAGCTTCGGGCTGCCATGTCGGCCGTACAGCTATCCGCATTTCCCTCTCCGACCTTCGGTGTCCGCAAGAGCCCGGTCCTTCCTACCGGATCGGTTAGCCAGCTCACCAGTCGTCCATCTGTACGGTCTACCTGATATCGGGACTTTTTCCCTGTCTCATCTCCTAGCCACCCAATACAACGCCGGCCCTGGACACCCTCACTCTGTCAGGTCTGCAACCCTGGCGCGGTAGCATTGTGCGAGGGAGAGGCACGCAGCGAATCACATCACCCAAACCGGCTTGACAGGCCCCATCTGCCCGGCCGTGCGGCTTCTTTCTGCAGCACACGTAATAATGTACGGCCGGCCGTACGTAGTAGTATGCGTGCGTACCTTAATCAATCTCCCCTTCATCCCCCGGTCCTTCTTTTACACCAACGTACTCCTTCCCCCACATCCGTATCCGCGCCGTCGCGCGTCATCGTCCATCAGCCAAGCGCGCAACGCTGAGGAGAGTCGTTATCCAGACCTGCAGGAACACGAGACAGACACTTGGCTATCTACACTGGGAACACCTTGGCACCGCCTGACATGAAGGCTCCCTTTCTCTCTCTCTTTCTCTATCTCCCATAGCGCGCATCCCTTCTGATGACCGCACCTTTGCGGGCTCGGACGGTTTCGCGCGCAACGGACGGAGCACGGGATGACCCTGGGACAAGGGTTGCGTGATGTTATGAGGCACAGGTGCAGGCTCAACGTCTGTCCGTATCTTTTCACTCGCACTCTAATCCCCCCCCCCCTTCTTTCTTACTCGCCCACTTGAGTACCTAGTCCTCCCCCTGAACCAGCCGGGGGCGAGAAACGCCGACGAGTACCTGCAGAAACGCATGCCGACTCGCCGGCCTGAGCCTGTCTGGAAACAATCTCAGTTTGTGGGACGCATTGCTGGCTGTTGACGTGATGGCCCCATCAGCGGTACCCCCGTGTGAAGTTATGGTAGAAGCTCATTACCACGTCTTCCCCCCCCCCAACGACGTATTCGTGAGGGCTCTTTGCGTGTCCAGCACAGCACGGCGAGAGGCTAACAGCCGTCCCGTCCGGGGGAGGAGACGGGGTTCGACCGTTGGAACCGAGCATGCGGGTGCAGACGGATATCTCGGAGGGGGGAAAGGGAAGGAGCAGGGCGAAAACGAGGGAGACAAGGCGGGGGGCTTTCTCAAACCTGCATCCCACAAACCCGCTCCACTTTGGACGAAGGAGAAACCTCTCAACCCGCCGTCGCCAGCACTTCCTTGCAGATCCGCGGTGTCAACGACAACGTCGAGCGGATCGGCCAGCTCGCGCATCTCACAGCTCGTTCAACCATAACTTTCTCCCTCGCGAGGTTAGACATACAGCTGGCTTTAGCTCCTCGAATCGCGCCGCCCCCCGGCTTTTGAGTTCCGCCGCGGCCGCTTCATTGTATTTCGATGAGGTCGGCGATGCCGCTCAGAACAGAAGGAAAATGGAAACAAAAATAAAATAAAATAGAACACAAAACTTCCCGAAGACTCGAGCTTGGCAGGGCGGTCCTGGCTAGGATGAGAGGGTAGGGAGGAGATGATAGCCTTCGAATGCCTGCGTGTTCGTTCGCCTTTTTCGGACGGATCGGGTTGTGTGTGAATAAAGGCACGCCGCACGTCTCACGCCGCAGGGTGGGGCTTTAAACGGGGGGTTCTTCCTACTCTCAGTGTCACGCAGCCAGCCGGACTCTAATGAGCTTTGGCCAAGGAGAGGCCCGCATCGCCCGCCCTGAAGCAGGTGGCGTCAGTGACCGCATCTGGTGCCTGACAGGACGGCGGATTCATCATCTCATAAACATATAAGCAAAGGAAAAGAAAAGAAGATTTCACGCGGCGACAGGCTGATGAGCTCACCCGCGAAGCTGTGAAATGCCAAGACTGTAACGGTACCCTCCACCAACTAAGTCGGCACGTTATCCAACTGAAAAAATTCCACAACTACCGGCAGACGGTGGGTGATTTGGGGGAGGGGGGCTGCTGCTGCCATCTCGGGTATCAGCCCTAGGTACTAGAGATGGAACGGCACCCTAATCGCGCCCATCCCGTCGTTGAGCAAACTTCGCAACTCAGACCGGCAAATGAAAGGGGGAAAAAGAAAGCAAGGAGGGGGGGAAAAAAAAGGCAAAAAAAAAAGAGAAGGATGTTTCATCCCGTGTCGTTAGCGAGAGGCCGGCAGGATGGGACGGTCCAAACAAACGATAAACACCTGGCATCTCTGCCTGCGCAACCCCCCCCCCCCCCCGGGGGGGCCTCGGTTGGCTTTGGCTTGTGAGTTGGACTACGGAGTACATGCCGTCGTCGTACGAGGGGGGGGGGGGCCTCCTCGCCTATACCAGTGTGTCCGCTTTTACTACCGCCAAAAAGGTGAAAGCGATCGGTTTAATTGGAACCCGCGTGTCGCCGTACCCTAGGGAAGTCGTACACGAGCAGACGCCGGCGACGACAGCCCACATAAGACACAACTCAAGACGACTGAGCGTAGCATCACGCATGGAATGGGGGCACATTTGTCATGCAAGGGTCCAAGCGACCAAGCAAGCAGAGAGGGAATGAGAGGGGGGGGGCGAAGGGAAGAATACCCTGGGAGAGAGGGAAGATGGACCAACCCACCCCCGTTTCATGTCTGTCTCAAGAAACTCAACACCATGATATACCCAAGAAGTCATCATCATCACTCGCTCACTACCTACCCGGGTCCCGGCCGGGCACGGCGCCCAGTCCCTCCATCTCTCTCCCGTTTTCGCTCCGCCTCGTTCTCTCGATCGAGGCAAGGCAAGGGGAGTGGAGGGGAGGGAGATTACAGGCGACTGGACGGGAGTCGACGTGCCCGACTTGGCGCCCCTCCTCCTCCTGCTCCTCGATTCCCCATGCTCGTCCGTGCGCACTTTTACTGTTATTCCTGTAGCGATGCTCTCTTTCTCCCTTTTTCTGCCCACGGTGGCACCATCGCCCCCCTCTTCTCCGCGATTCCCAACGCCAGGGTATCGCGTTGCATATCGGAAATCACACAAGTTCCTGCAAGAGGCTGCCCGTCAACCACACGTGGTAGGCACGAGAAGGTCAAAGGCCGGTTTGTCTGCCTGGATCGTGCCGTCACAACATCCCATAGACCCCCCCCCAATTCCACCAGCAGACGCGCTTCCAGGCCAACACCCTTCTCTAACGTGGACATCAACTTCGCTCAGCCCAAGGGATCGGACGGGGCGCAGCACACGGTCAGGCAATGGGCAGAAGGAAATAAGCTCCGTCACATGGGCCCAATCTGTTAACGGTTTTGCCCTGCGCATGAACTGGGCCAGAATATAGTTCGTAGCAGCAAGATGGATAGACTTTTTTTGTCCTTCTTGGCCGTGGCCAGAGCTAGTCTGGACTGCATTTACCTCTTATCAACCCCCTCTCCTTCGAGGCCAAATCCTATCTACATACAAGCCAACGCCCGTCCGACTCAATGCCTCGCCGCATCAGACCATGTCATTGCGGCCCAAAGCCGTCACGCCCACATCTGAACCCAGACCCTTTCCCCTAAGTGTGAGGGTTCGCCTCACTTCCGCGCGACCATATCGCAGGCTCATATCGGACGTGTCAGAAGAAAAGAGGGGGAAAAAATCTCAACGCCAATCCATATGTCGTCGTAGAGTCGCAGAGATAAACGAGTAAAGAAGAAAAGCCCCCCCTCCCTTTCCATAATAGGTACTAATAATTATCGTCGAGATGTTGAGAATGTACAATACGCGTCAAGGTACGTCAAGCCAACAGTGGCGCCGGCTGTAAAAAATAAAATAAAAAAAGAAGAAGAAGAAGAAGAAGAAAAGATGAAGAAGAGCTTCACATTTGTTCTTGAAACTTCGAGGCGGAGCCCCGAGAATCCCTGGAACCGTCCTGAGACGGCATAGTCCGGCCAATGGGGTCCCGCGCCGGAGGCGGAGACGGTGATAATGAGGCGTTGGGGTCCGCAAACGGGGCCGACTCCGTCACCGGTGTCCGGGCCGGAGACTCCTTGAAGACCACAACGCCGCTCACCGGTCTCATGGGCGAGCCGAGTGCGAGGCGAGGGGATTGTGCGTCGGGGCCGCCGGGGTCGAGGAAGGCTTGCGAGTCGCGGTAGTAGATCGATTCGTCATCGTTTGCGGCACCGCCGAAGGGTGCGACACCCGCGATACCCTCGCGGGGGTCCGTGTAACCGTCACCACCGGATTGCAGTACCGAGGGCAACTTCCTGCCAGACACGCGGACGAAACCCCGTTCACCTGTTTCGGAGGGTTCGCTGGCCCGTCTCGAGTGCTTCCGAGCTGCGGCTGCGGCGCCAAATCCGACTGCAGCAGCACTGCGGCCATATGATAGGGACCGCTGGATCATTCCACCGCCGCCGCCGCCGCCGCCTTCCGGACCGCCGGAGCCGGTGAGGATACCGCGCTTGCCCATGCTGGTCTCGCTCAGACGGAGACGTCCGCCTGTGCTCTTTTTCCAGCGAAGGGCAAGGAATACCAACACCAAAAGAAAAGCTGCGCCGGCTACACTGCCAACGACGCTGCCTACAACAGTTGCGGTCGGCACAGTCTCGTTGTCGCTGCCGGAGTCACCTGACGAGGTCGGTGGTGACGTCGGTTGGTCGGCTTCTCCACCGCCAATAATGCCAGCAGCTCCGGTTCCCGTGGCGGTCGCATCCAGCGTCGACGAAGCACTTGTGGCCAGGGTGGAAGTGGTGCTCAATCCGCTAGACAACCATGTTGAGTCCGAACCCGAGCCCCATGTTGAAGAGAGGGATGAAAGTATTGAAGATGTTACGCTAGTCGTGCCAGAGGAAAGATGGCTCGATAAAGTGGTTGTGGTAGAGACTGACGTTGAAGAGGAGTTTGTTGAGGTAAGGAATGCTAGAGTCGGTCAGCCACTTCGTCCTGCGAGGAAAACAACGGCGAGACAAGGACACAACGTACAAATCGTCGAGTTCGACCGGCCACTCAAGGATGAGTAGAGTGACGAGGCCGCCGCCGAGGGCGCGGGTGTAGTGGACAAAGGATCGGACGTCAGGGAAGTGCCCTGACTTGCGGAAGAGCTCGTCGATGAAGGCGTCGTCGCGGCTGGTGCCGACAGAGTTGCGTCACTCGAGATGCTGGGAGACTGGGAGGCCGAGTCGCCGGTGGACGATGGAGAAAGCACCGCCGAAGCTGGGTTAAGGGCGGCTCTGATGGCATCCACGGTGACGGACGTTGGTAAGAGAGTTTGCACTTCGACGGGGTGCCCAGAGGCATCTACTATTTCGATGACTGAGACGGTCTCGACGACTATTTTTGGGCCCTGGGTGGTGGAGGGTTGGGCGTCGGTGGGGGCGGGGGCAGCAACGTCGAGTTGTCGATGCTGATGATGAGCATTCTCGGGGGTGGCGGCGCGTTTGTTGTGTAGATGGTAATGATTGTGGTGGTAGGAGCGGGCCTGAGGGAGTGAAGGCCCGCGCGGTGATTTAGTCATTGCGTGGATGGGGTGGCGTAGTGCCTGGAGGCTGAGCTACCGGCTCCGTCTGGTTGGTGGTTTTTTTTTTCTTTCTTTTCCGCGTGTTGGATCAACCGGGGGGGAGGCGAATCAAGCCGCTGGTAGTGGTGCTCGCTACGTGCGAAGCAGATAAAGATAGAACAAGGGAAGCGAGTGACTGATGCTGGATCAACGAGTGTGGTGAGGTAGCGAGTGTGTTTGGTTGGAAAGTTGTCGATCTATTCGAACTCCATTCTTGACGTCTTCACAGCATAGGTAGGTGCGTCGATAACTGGCATCGTCTGGGTGGTGTGATGTGATGTGTCCTGCAGCGGGCCGCGAATGCGAAGAAGACCCCTCACGCTCTCGTTCTCGTTGGTTCCTGCACTTTTCCCGGTGGTCTCGGATTCCCGTGTGGGTGTAGGTGTGGGAAGCTGGGCTGCGGTGGGCTGGTCTGTTGGATCCAAGGGCGGAAAGTGAATAAAAATGGCGAACCAGGGAGTCGGACGGTAATGCGTCGTTTCAGCCGTTTCTCGTCGATGGTGTCGAGATCCTGTCTCCCTTGCATCTGCCAGTTCTCATGGCCGATGGATCAGGACGATGGCATGGCGGCGCGCGTGTGCTTGCCAGTGGTTGGAGGGGGGGAAGAGGAAGCAAAAGAGAAGGAAGGGCAAGGACTCTTTGGCGGGCGGAGCGAGCAGGCTCGACGATAATAATAAGCATCGGGGACCAAAAGGTAACGGCTCTAGAAACGGCAGAGCGAGAGCAGAGAGACAAGGTTTAGTACAGAGTGCAGGGGAAACAAGCAATTCGGTCCACCAGGACGAGCGCTTCGACACACTCTCAGTCGACTTTTCCCCCCAGAGCGGGTGGGCATTTGGCAGTTACTCGCAGATGGCAAGATTTTGATAATCTCGCTTGAGGTTGGCAAGTGGCTGTTAGCCGGCTGACGCCATGTCCTATTGGACAACGGGGGTCCCGCAGAGGTTGTAGTAAGCAGATCCACTGTCCACTATCACGGGCGAAGACAGGGGCCAAGGGGGGGGGGGGGGGGGGGGGGGGTTAGAGAGGTGCCCACCTCGTTGGAACGGTATCTATTTTTTCCTTGGTGCTTGTGCTTGTGCTTGTGTCTGTCTGTGCCTGTGTGCTTGTGCCTGGGCTGGAGGTCTAACGCTTCCCTTTCCTTGCCTTGCCTCACTGGATACGGACGCCTAGCGCTGGGCTGGGAAATGTTTACATAGTCCATTGTCAAGGTTGCAGCTGCTAGGTGCCGAAGTGGGGAGCCAACGACTGGACCAGGACGAACAGTTTCGAAAGCCAAGCAAACCCCCCCGAGCGAACCGCGCCCAACTGGATACTACCTATCTCGAACAATGAGAAGTACTAAATCAAGACGAGACGAAATTAAATGATACATGGGACGAAAGGAAGAAACGAAAGAGAGAGAAAAAACCGCGACCGGTCTGATTAAGAGCCACCCTACCTAGGTAGGTAGGTAGGTAGGTAGGTAGGTAGGTAGGTACATGCACACCTAGTAAGCAACATCGAGCACAGCGAGACCCGTGTAGGCAGGCAGGAATGGCCTGCATTGCGCACTACCTACGGATACTTCAGTGCGCATGCATTTTGCGCCCTTCCCCCGCCCCCCCTCCATTGTTGGCTAAAGAGCAGCCAATTCAAACGGATACACAGCACACTGACGTCCTGTATTGGCTCACCCAACAGTCTAGCAAAGGTCCAGACCAAATGATCACCGTCGGCCCTACGACCCATGAAGGGATTCCTCGACGCTACCAGAACAACAAACCACACGATGGCCCATTCGTGGGATTTCCTCGGTGAGGGCTCAAGTCTCCTCGAACGATAAAACAGCCCACGAGGCATGGGGGGCTGTGAGCCGGTCCCAGACTATACGAGCCGCCCATCTCCAGAGACAGAAATAAGCAACTTGGTGCCAGAAGCAAGTTGGCGTTGTCTCGCCATGCCAGCAACGGCCTGTCTGCATGCTCCCGCTCACTATTCCCCTTGGCTAAACTGTACCACGGGTCGCCGTCCCGGACCAAGCCAAGGTCTGCCCCCCCTCTCAGGTCTCCGTCTTAACGACAGACAATATATTGTCCTGTGCCTGGGAAGCGAAGCGTTTGCACCGCAGTACTATACACTAGGCGGAAAAGATGGCGTTACGCAGCACCTCAATGTTTCGCGCCACCAAACTTGGGCACCTCGTATTTTTAGCCCAGCTACGCTCAATTGTTTTGACGTTGTTCGTTGGAACCCTCTGCAAGCTGCCAGAGGTTGTTGATATCTTTGTGGCAGAGCGCATCTGCCGTGCAGCATACAGTGCGTCCGTCGTGCCTACATATTTCCTATCTATGGCATGTCCCTGGGCCGGGTCTCTCCAGAGGAGGGGCCCATTTCGTCGACGTGGGGACGTGGGGCTCTTCCTTCAAACGTGTTGGACTAGACGGGAAACGGGCGGGCCCTTCTCCCCAAACGCATGACATTGCAATGCATTAAGGCAAGTATCCAGGGCACAGCGAGTGTATACCACGACGAGGAGAAACGCTCGTAGGGGCACGTACCCGCACCCGCACTTACACGAGATTAGCAGTGTACTGTACATTGCCTGTCGCTGCATGCAGTCTCTCGTCCAATCCTCTCCAAGGTCACCCACCCTAGCGTACGTGCGGCCGACACACACGCATTGTCTCTCCGTTGGGGGCCCTGCTACCGGTAGATGGGGGCAGGGTGAAGGCTTGCCGGGCCCGGCGATCATGGGACGAATTTTGTTTCCATCAAAACAAACACTGGGGAGCCCTTGTCTTGTCCTGCCCGTCATTGTGAACCCCCGTCCTGTTCTTCTGTCATTCCGTGTGCCCCCCTTTCTTTTCCTCCCCCGGCCCGCACAGGGGAGCTTTCTCGTGACGCAAGAGACTGATGACACCCATCTCCTATTCTCTTCTTTCCAAACCCCGCCGCCGCGTTCACTGCTTCGCCAGTAATGGGTCTTTTTTGGAGACGAGCCTGCGGTATAAGCTGTCGGCCCTAGGTCCGCATCACCAATCAGGGCCGTCGCGTACAATGCGCACTATCATATACGTAGTATGTAACTAGCGATGGCAGCTCGGCAGGCGCGTACGCTGTTTTAGTGTGTCTCAGGAGGCTCCTAAACCCCAGGATGCCTATAGCAGTTTACAAATGTTAACGACAACTCAACGGACATTAAGCTCGGAGCGAGCAACCCTGCTTGGGGCGTTGGAGAAGGACACACTCGTCAAACGGGGCAAGGTTTCGCGTCGCTCCACGACTATACGTAATTCGTAATTCTCCCTTTAATTCCCGACCGACGCAGAGTGGAGCGGGACTGAGCAGATGCCTGCCAACCTAGCCTGGGCAGTCTAGGGGAGGAGGGAGCACAGAGATGTCGTTTTGCTAAGATTGCTGTGTAGGCGCTGGGCATGTATCTGTACAGCATCGGTATCATCTATCGAGCGTATTGACAGATGTATCCGTCCATATCGCACGGTGTCCGTCCTACATGCGCGGTCCGTCACGGCCGACCAGTCCTGGGCTTCGTCCCCAAGACGACGGACTCCGGGCGGGCGGGAAAGGCTCGTATCAACACAAGGCACACGGAAGGCTGCCGTCCCTCCCCGTCCCAGCCCCTAGCGTGGTACTTGTCGAGGCCAGGCAGCTAGCCATCTCACTTCCACGATGCCCTCGCGCTCTAGTTCCGGGGCTTTCTCCAGAGACGGGCCCGCCCCCCATCGACTCTTTAGGAGACGAGAGGGACCGGCGCGACTAAGCCTATACAGAACTGCCGGTGCCATCTTGTCTTCCGTGGCTCTGTGTTCCTTGGCAGGATGCAGACAAGGTCGACGGGTAACCAGGGAACAAACATCTCGGAGGTCTTTCGAGTGGGCGGGGCTAGACGTTCAGCGCCGCAAGGCAAAGCGATGCAACGCGACGAGACACTGAACGACGGCACCGGGGGTCCCTAATCCAACCTGTAATCTCCCACCGGCTTCCCCTCTCTTCTGCCAGGATTGGGGAAATGGGCCGCGATTGACGACAGGACGCGACCAGGAGTCGACGTCAGCGAACCGGATTTTCAGAGGAACCAACGCCCAGGGTCGGAGATGCATTTAAAATCAAACTCAAAACAGCGTGATATTGATGCTCTATTCCAGGGCGCAGAGACGGCTTGGATTGATGCAGGGCGCGGGATCAAGTGCCGGTGCCGGCGCAGAGCAACAACCATAAGAAACACCTTGCTCGTCTGTTCTTGCTTGCTTGCTTGCTTGCTTGTTTGTTTTGCCTGTTTTGCCTGTTCGCATTAGTTTTATCAGAGCACGGATAGAGTTCGTGCACCGACGCACGAGCATCCCTTCGCGGCACGGCCGAGATAGTGCGCGCTCGAGGTGCCTGTACGGCCATGCTGCCGTGGCTTGCCGTGCACAGCACACCCCCCCAGCACTTGAGCCGAATTGTTAGCAGCCGCGGGCTAAAGAGACCCAAAGGTCAAATTCGTATCTGGTCGAAAGCCACCAACAGCGTACCTGGGGCGGATGGCCATCTGTGGAAGAAGAACTCTCGCCAGGTCTGCAGAGCCTGGCGCAGCTGAGAGTCCCGTCCAACCCAGCCTGGGACAGGCTCTACCCCTGTCGCGTTTACGTCAGGCTGAGTCAGTGACCAAGGTCCTTGATGAGACTCGTGGCAGTGCCTAGCTTTGTGGTTCTGAGAAAATCAAAGGCCTGCGAATAGCATGTCGTGGCAATAGGACCAATACACGTCTTGTGCTTGGTGGGCAGCTGAGAAAGAACAAGAGTCGCTGGAAAGGCCGCGACGACCGCCTGTTTCGAACACTCTAGAGAGAGAGAGAGAGAGAGAGAGAGAGAGAGAGAGAGAGAGAGAGTGTGTGTGTGTGTGTGTGTGTGTGTGTGTGTGAGCGCGCGTCGTCATATCCCTCCCGCCAGCCAACCGCAGCGCGGCGCTTCTTGTCTTTGGCACGTTGAGCCGCCGCCGCTGCCAATCGGTAGTGGCTAACTGACGCAAGTGCAGAGCGAGCGTCCCTGTGAGGCTGGTACAGTACGATGAATGGCCGTGTGGGCGAAGAAGTGGCAGAGGGCGGTTCTTTCCCTTTCCTAGCCAAAGTATCCATACATAACCCCCCATAGGTAGGTACGCGTACGTCCCTAGAAAACAGGGCGCAGCAGCGCTGCGCAACCCAAGCGCTAGTGTCCCGCGTTTCGCTTTTCCCGCGTATTCTGCACTCGTGTAGCGCCGCAACACCCCGCCCTTTTAGTGTCGGTAGGTACGGCAAGCTCCACACCACCAGGCTTGACTTTGCTTGCTACATCCACGCATCCCATAGCTCTATCCCTACCTCAGCAAAAGGTTAGCTTATCACACTCGCCTGGACCAGTGGATTCATTCTCGCAGCAGGCCGAACCAGCAAATGTCAAACCCCATAGGCTTCCTTCTCGATACCCCGTCGACCACGGCCCGTGCCTGATCGGTTTTCGTTTACGGCCTGTCTGTCCGTTGTATATCTGGCCAACCCAAGCCTATCCTTTCGTTACCCCTAATGCACCACATCCAAGGCTTGCAGCTCTAAGTATACTTCGTCACCTCGACGCGGAGTTGCTCGTCCCCCCCCCCCATCCCGACCTTTACCCCTCTCTCATCACACCCCTCGTACGCCTCGAAATTTGACCTCTGACATTTGACGTCATGGCGGGATACTCCTACGACGGCTCCTCGTCCTCGGCCGCACCACCACCGCCCTACTCCGTGACCGCTTCCGCTTCCGCTTCCGGCTCCGGCAACTTTGGATCCACCTCTTCGTCCCTGTTCGCGCCGCCCCCGACTACCGCCTACGCCACACACGGGGAGTCTTACGCCGGCCCTTCTTCGGGCTACCCCTCGTCATCGCCTGACCACCTCGAGATCTTGAACGCCAAGTGGCGCCTAGCCGATCCTAGGTCGTCTTCGGCTCACTCACTTGCCCCGTCCGTAAATGATCGCGATGGTGTCACCCGCCGGACCTTGCTCGTCATCTACATCCACGGCTTTTACGGCAACGAGTCGTCGTTCCGCTCCTTTCCGGCTCATGTTCACAATTACCTGAAGGAGGCGCTGGCCGAGACTCACGTTGTCCACTCCAAGATTTATCCCCGTTACAAGACCTACAAGGCCATCGACGTGGCTCGAGATAACTTCAGCCAGTGGCTGGAACCCCACGAGTCCGACTCTACCGATGTGATCCTCGTCGGCCACTCCATGGGTGGTTTGCTTGCAGGAGAGGTTGCCATGATGGTACGATTCCCAACCCGGCCATGATGCCCGGACTACCTAAACTGATCTTGTTCCCAGCCTAATCGGCACCCCTATAGGCGCCAGCCGTATAAGCACCGCATCCTCGGTACTATTTCTCTTGATTCGCCGTTCCTGGGGCTTCATCCCGGCATCATCGTGGCTGGTATCTCGAGCTTGTTCAGGCCGGCATCACCAGCCGAGGAAAAGCACGACCAATTGGATGCCTCGTCAAACTACTTGGGTTCCAACAACTCAACTCTGACCAGCCCCAACCCGTCCATGTACACTCTGGAGACGAACAGCTCCCTGAGCGCAGAACTCTCCTCTCACCCAAGCAACTCGCCATCTCTGTCCTCGAACGGACCGCCGCAGCAGCCCGATCCCAACTTCAATCCGCCTTTCTTCAACGACCTGAATTTAAAAGACCGCTCCTTCATGAAGCGTCTGGGCCACTTCGCAAAGAAGCACAGCCACGAGGGAATCTGGGACGCCACCAAAAACCACGTCATGTCTCATCTCGAGTACGGCGGCTGTCTGGCAGATTACCCAGGCTTGAACGCCCGATACAACAAACTTCGCGCCATGGAGAGCGTCGACCCACTGCAGCACATGGGCGACGGCGCTAACTACGGGAACGACGTGAACAAGCCACCTCCCACCAGGGTGCGGTTCGTCAACTACTACACCCTCAGCACGGGGAGGCCGAAGAAGCCAAAGACGCCGGACTCATCCAAGTCGCCAGAATCTCCAGGGTCTCCAGAGGAGAGGTTCGTCTCTGCCCCCTTCAATACTCTCGAGGTTGGGTCTCAGCTATCGCCCGCCGCGGTATCAACGCCCAGAATTTCTGTTGAAGACTCCGACGATGGGAAGAGTATGGAACTCCTAGCGCCCATCCCGATAGAGGACGTAGACGAGAAGCTTTCAACGCTCCATGAAGAACAGCAGGCGAGGTCTGGTTACGAATCCACGGAAGCCTCAAATTCGACGGATGCACTTCGACGTGGCCAGTCACAAGACGCGCCAGAAGCAAAGGGCAAGGAAAAGCAGAGGCTGGACGATGATGCTACTCCTCATGAACCTTCCCCCCTAGCTGAACAGAGCAACGCGGCCGCTTCCGAGACAGGAGAAGATCAAGAGGCACCCCCTATGGCGGATGTGACCGACGATCCGGAGCTTCCTCCCATTCCTGACCTGCCTGAACAACC